ACGGCAACTTCAAACACTTGGGCTTAAACGATTTTCTTGCCTCAGCCTCCCAAGTAGCTGGGACTACAGGTGCCCACAACTCCCGGCTATTTTTTGGTTGCAGCCATCATTTTTATTTGCAGGCCTGGGCTGGATTACGAACCCACCAGCTCTGGTGTTTGTGGCTGGCACCCTAGCCACTGAGCTACGGGTGCCTAGCCCAAGATGTAAAATTTTTTTTTAAGCCAAAAATAAGGTCTACGTAGGTGCCCTGGTTTTTGAACTCTGGCCCATGATTCCCAGGGTTTTTTTTTTCCTTGGAATTTTTTTCACCTGAGAGCTCCTATATAAGCTGGGTCGTGATGGTGGCAATGATTCAGAATTCTAACCTACCAGCCCACCAGTCAAAGGGCCTTCCTTATCCTAATCAGTTTCTTAGACAGAAACTGAAATATATGTCCAATCCCCAAACCAGTGAAATTTATTTTTGCGGCTGAGTCTTACTATGTTGCCCAGGCCGTTCTCAAACTCCTGGCTTCATGTGATCCTCCCACCTTAGCCTCCTGAGTAGCTGGGGCTACAGGAGTGGGTCAGCTGAAACCAGAGAAATTTATTTGCACATTTGGCCTTTTGGGGAAAAGTTTTCAGGGAGATTTATAAACATTTAAACACCTTTTAACCTCCAGAGTCCTCTGCTATATGATTATCTCTGGTTTTCTCCTGTGTCTGTCTCTGACCTCTAACCTACTGGCTTCCCTTCTCAATTATGTCACTGTCAGACATATCTTACCTCGTTTCCACAGAGACTGAAAGTAAAGTGATGGAAATATTTCAGCCCTTTGGAAGTGAAGCTTGACCCTCCAGTCAGAGTGACCGTATTTGACAAAGCGGAGAAGTTGTAGTTGAAAGTCCTAGCTGGGGTGTTGCGTGTGAAGGCACAATCGTTGTAGCACAGAGAGTGGATCTGGGGGGGAGAGACAGTGTCAGGCCAGTTGGATAGGCAGGGCCTTGAGAGGCTGTAGGAGAAAGTAACAGTTTCCTCCCCAGCCTGCTCCAGCCCAGATGAGGTGAAAGAAGAGAAATAAAGGATTAGGGGTGGGCACAAAAAGCACTGTAGGCACTAGTGGGATTCATGTCCAGTTTGCCATTCAATTATTAGCACATATATGATGTACAAACTCAAATCTGTTATTTTCCAGTAGGTAGTTCAGTCAAATTCTATAGCCCTGTCCCTGTACCTCTCAAGACCCAGGATAACCCTTCTTACATCCAAGCAGAAGACAATGGAGGACGAACCCAAAGAAGGGTGCCCAGGATGGCAGAAGAGAAACTGTGTGTCTTTCCCCCTGACCACCTGAACACTGCTCCCTCTTTCTCAGGTTTTCTGTAGGAAACTGATCTCCAGGGAGGGTTTTACTTCCGATTTCTAAACCGATTTCTTGCTGTTTCAGGATCCCCATTCAGTAGCAGCCTTATACAAATGTCATTCCCTCCCATTGCAGCAGGGGGCGCTCCAGGGGAAGAAGATTGTGGCAAAAGTCCAGGGTGCCCAAAAGAGGTCGCCAAGGATATGCAGAATCCTTGCACTTGTAGAGCTGAACACATTTGCAGAGCACCTATCAATAATGCCTTACATTCTATCTAGACTTCAGCTGATTGAAAAATATAAAATAAAAATGTAAAAATAAATAAAGCCTTACAGAAATGTATGTGCATGTGGTTGAGATCAGTAAAATACAAATTCATTTGAAAGCATCAACGAATACCTAAGAGCTTTTAGTCCAATGTACTTTCTCAGATGCAGAAAGTAGATGGAGGCAACAGCACTGTTTTTCCACTTTAGAAAGGAGTCTTTATACCTGTCAATTTGAGAAGCCACTGGGATGGAAGATAGCAACGCCAATTAACCAAGTGTCCCAGCAAAGGTTTGGTTACCTTCTCAAAGAAGTGGGAGCAAATTCCCTTGAGAACAGGCTGGATTGGACTGGGCTAAATTCAAGCCACAGGCCCTGCTATTCCTTCCCTTCAGATCTCTGCACAGATGCCAGATAAGCTTCTAGATCAGACAGTCATCGATTTCCCTTATCCATCAACTGAAAATGGGACTAGTCCATGACTAAACCTTGGAACCTTGAAATCGCCACCCAGAGTCATAGCCTAGATGGGTATCCTCCAGAACTCCAAGCTGAGAGTATGCTAGTGGCATATGCTTTGGGATCAGCACCCAAGAACCCCATCCAGGACCCAGGACCCAGCACCCTCTGAGGCCATCCACCTGGAGGGTCAAGTTTAGGATGCATGACAGGCTTTTGGCACCTTGTTGTTCTTGGTCCCTGTACCGCAGGGCACACAGGCCTGGATACCATAAGGCTGGTGGGCTCTCAGGATTGTGTTAGGGGGACAGGAGTGGCAGGTTCCTGAATCTCGGTCAATGTAGTAACCAGCAGGACAAGAGGTGCAGGAGGAGCCCATGTCAGAGGCTTCTAGGGCACAGGGACGGCAGTAGGAGGCCACCCCGTCCAGGACATTGGTGACATTGATAGAGTAGATCTTGGCAACATCATTGGTGTACTTCCTGCCCTAGAGACAAGGGAACAAGAGGGGAGAGAGTGAAGGCCAACATGGCAGCAACAATCGAGGCCTCTGGAAGTAGCGAAGTAGTTCTTTCTTTTCTTTTGTTTTGAATGATAGGATCTTGCTATGTTGCCCAGGCTGGAGTACAGTGGCTAGTCACAGGTATGATCATAGCACACTGTAGCTTCAAACTGCTAGCCTCAAGTGATTCTCCCATTTCAGTCTCCCAGGCAATAACTTATTAGTCTTTTATCCTCAATACTCAAGAAAAACAGTAGAAGCATCCTACTCTTTTTACTCACTTAACAGTGGCTCTTTACTTACATTTTGTGTCATTTTAAAAGAAGACTGAGCCATTTTAAATGATGTAGTAAAATGTTAAGCTACTGTTGTGTGGAAAAAGCAGCTCTTTTTTTTTTTTTTTT